TTCTCTCTTCTCTCTTCTCTCTTCTCTCTTCTCTCTTCTCTCTGCCTGGTTCTCCTTTTTATATTTTACTTTCTTTTCTCTGACTTCTACCTCTTCCTTTTGAACTCCTGCAGGTCGTCCGGCCATATCAGACCATGTCCAATCCCATGAGCAAGCTCACTGTTCTCAACAGCATGCATTCCCACTTCATTCTGGCTGACAATGGAACCACTGGAAAATATGGAGCAGAGGTGAAGCTTAGGAGACAACTGGAAAAGCATATTTCACTCCAGAAGATAAACACAAGTAAGTAAGCTACTTTTTCCACTGTCATGCCTCCTAGGAAGTGTGTTACAAGTGAATAACTTTAAGTGTGCACCAGACAACCATATTATAAAAACTTGAGCAAGTTTCGAACACGGATCATTATGTCTGCTGGGCCAGTGGTTAGAATGAGAGGAAGTTGTCTAGAGGGCGATTAGAGGCATAAAAAGTGATCACACAATTAATTGATGGACTCCATCTCATTTATCATGCCTGAAAAATTTAACCCCCTAGGGGGTTTGTGAATGCAGATAAGCTTTTCTCTCCAAACTTTTCCTACATCATTCATACAATACTCTAAGGAGGAAAGGCACACAAGAGAAACTGTTTCTATTTATTAAGGTATTTTTGGTAGCTGAAAAAAATAAAGAAAGAAAGAAAATCAGGCTTTGATCTTAGCACAGATGGCTGTGCGAAGGCCTTTCAAGGGAACTGACATTGTCTGAACTAAAGCATCTTATGCAACCATCTTGATAAAACTTTAATTCTGTTTTTTATTTTATGTATATCAATTCATTGTCTCTTGATACATATGTACCTAGATATATTTGTATCACATAATACATATCTGATAGTTACACTAAAATTATCTCTTAACTTTTTACGTGTTCTATGCCTTGTTTGTTGTATACACATTTGTTTTAAGGGTGAAAGGTAACATTTTAAAAACAGCAGTGCTCCCCAGATCACTAAGTGCCTGAAATATGATAGAGCTATGAAAATAATCTGTCCCTCCTCACAAAATAGGATTTAAAATTTAACTTGTTTTTTCAAAGTAGCATGCAAGGCTTCATGGCAGACTCAAACTTTGTGGTAATTGTATGTCCTATCAGGGGAACTTGTATTTAATTGATTGAACTTTCAAAGCCTACAACTCCAAATAAGAAAGCATTCTCTTGGGCTGGCTGAGTGGCACAATGGTTAAGAACTGGTTTGGGACACCAGAGGGCCCCGGTTCGGATCCCACATATGAGGGCCAGTGACACTGCCCTCTACAGCTAAGGTGCTGAACAGCAGCTCAATCTGGAGCTAGGCTGCCATGAGTCGCCCGCGACGGCATAGGCTGAAAAAAAAAAAAAAAGCGTTCTCTTTGGCTACATAAGCTTTTAAAAGTTCAGTTTCATGTGATGCAACTTGTCCAAATGGCTTTTCTCTCCTCTAGTCTTTTCTCTGTGCTTATCCCAAGGGTGTTTCCTCCCAGAAAAGCCCACCTGCCTCCCAGAACTGGGATATTTGACCTATTAGACCACAGCTTCTTTTTCCTGTCCTCTTTTTTCTGGTTTTACCTTTCAGGAACTATTGCTGTTTAGGCAATCAAGTTTCATAGCTTCATCTTTTTCACAGGGAAGTCTGGAATGATAAATTGTGGTGTAGGCCTGAAGTCAAAATTGTATTAGGAAACTCTCTTCTACCTAAGAATCCTCAACTGTCTTCTTTGGAAAGAGAAAACACAGTATTATCCTGAGGTAAACATATTTGAGAAAAAAAGAGTAGAAAAGACTAGAAAATCTACGCAGAGGCCGGTGCTAATCAAATGTAACAAAGCACTATAACCAATGGGTGGTAGGTTTAGTTATACTAAAATTAAATTTCATTATATGTTTCATAGAATGTGTAAATGTTATGCAGTTAATGTTATCTTCTTGGGTTTTTATAAGCTGTAGTATTACTTTTTTTTACACCATCGGGTTATAAGTGAAACCCCAAATGGAGTGATCTGAAAGCTGAAGGAGAGGGGAGCGGGGTAAACAAGGAGCAAATTCAGGTCAAGTTCAGTGCTTGGTAATGAAATAAGATCTGTCCAAACAAGCAAAGCATATCACTATGCCAGGCCCCGATGGCAGCTGAGACAGTCAGTCAGTAGTGTTAGGAGGGGAGCTAGGTGTGATTGTGTAGGTTATATACCCAGCGGGGGGGGGGTGCCAGCAGAGTTAAACACTGAGCCAGGGCCCTGTTCGCCAAGCCCTGTGCCTTGCAGGCTGCCTGAGGAAAGGTTGCTTTATTCTAATTGGCCATCCCAGAAGGGTTACCCTTTTGTATAATAATTTATGTGCCTGGAGGGGTACCTTTCTCCAAAGCTCACGAGGTGCTATTTGTATGGATGACCCTGCCAGGGAGGTCCAAGGAGGCTCATGGACAATCACCTGGCCTCAGCAATGTGGAGTTGAAGAGCAGGCCAAGGCAGATGATCAGGACCTGAGGGATGCTGGAGGACCCAGGATCCCATATACACACCGCATGCCATTTGTGGAGACCCTGGACCATTGCTGGGTTATCAAGGCAGATAGCGGCACACAGGTACACTGACAAGTAGGGACCCAGTCAAGAGTCTAGGGCACGAAGTAAGGGAGACGCAGGGACCCAGGTACCAAGCTGAGTCATAAGGTCAGAAAAGCTGGCTTGAGACTCCTGAAATGCTCCAAGTCCACAAACAGGATTAGGCCTGGAGTCTGGGGTAGGGGCTGAGCCCCCAGAAGGGGTTAAGTGACAGTAGCTGGAACCGGGTAGGGGCAGAGGGAGGTATATGGTCATTATAATCATCATAATTTATACACATAATTTTCCTCTTTAATTTGGAGATTATATTTGAGGCTTAATAGGAACCCACAAGCTCTCATTCAGTGAGTATAATTAAAAGGGAAGGTATGGGGGAGGCGATTAAAGATGCCCAACAGAGATCCCTGGGATCACAGAAAGTTAAAAGGCTTGGGTCAGGAATTTGCCTATGATCTGTGGTGAATGAAGCCTTGAGTTACCTCGTACCACAGTTTTATCCCTGAACTTAATAGTGAGGTGACCAACTCGTCCCAGTTTGCCTGGGACTTTCTCAGATTTAACACTGAAAAGTCCCATGTCTCCGGGCCCCCTGAGTCCCAGGCAAACTGAGATGGTAGGTCACCCTCCAGGTGAGGGACTCATGAGTCATTAGGTCTACTTCTGTTATTACAGCATTCACCACACAAAGCAGGGAGAGAGCAGTAAGGTGCTCAGATCATAATTAGGAAGTGACCGGGCTACCAGAAGCAGTGCAGGGACTTGAGATCTCCGTTCAGTTAGCAGCAAAGTGCCCATTGAGAGCACAGAAGCCTCCAGAACAGGACCGAAAAAGAAGGAAAAGGGTTGACCTGGTCATAACAGGAAACAGCAGAATGAAGAATATAAACCTTTAATGCAATCTCCAGTTGTATTTTAGAACAGCAATTCTCCTTTTTACTCTGTATCGTCCTTAGCAGTAATATGCTTCTTCCTATTAAAAATAAAATTTTATTCTATGAACCTATTCTAAAAACCCCATGTGCTTTTACCTTTCCTTCTTCAAAAGTTTAAGAAATCTAAAACACACTAGTGGAACTCAATTTTGGGAGGCCCCAATTCGGTCTCCTGAACAGTAGACACACATCATGCCATAATCGACTCTGCCACGATACCACACAATTACGACTCACCATCTACTCACTTCGGACGATCCCAGGGATGTCTGAATACACTCAGTGTTTTCTTCATTAAAGTACCATTCCTCCTCATCACTTAGGGGTGGCCTGCGTGCCACAGTATCCTTACAACAAGTCTATTTTCTTACATAAATCACATAATCTTCTGAAGAATATTCTCCTGAAATAGTAAGTGAATTCTCCTCGGGAGACCTTTAAGCCCTTCCTCATCAACATGCCAGTAATTCATAATAACTTATTACAAGCACAGTGTCTTACATTTTTATGGTACTCTGGCATCCCTTATCTCGTTTCTCCCTTTCCGCCCCTCGCTCCTGCTGTCAACAGTCTGCCCTGAAGTGTCCTCATGGGTTCCTGAAGAAGGGCTTTGTTTTAAAAGATTTTTTTCCGATGTGAGCAGCTACCTGTTTTGGAACACCCTTCCATCTGCTGTTTTCTAAACTTCAAATTTAACATGCAAAGCCTCAAACAAGTCCAATTATGCCTTTGGTAAGCAAAAAAAAAATTTTTTTTTTTTTTTTAGCTGAGCCATCCTGCTGCCTATTGGCAGCTCAACGGCAGCTCAGCTCCAGTCGGGCATCGAACTGCTATTGCTCAGAGCTCGCACTGTTGAGCGAGTTCTTAACCAGTTGAGCCACTCGGCCAGTCCTTAGCAAATATTTTTTGAACTCCTATTATGTACCAGTCATGGTTAAGGCCTAGAAAAGCAGCAGTGGGCAGTTCATTGTGCTTACGTCAACAGGGGCAAACAGTAATAAGTGAATAAGTAAGCAAGTACATATGTGATGTCTGGTAGTAAAAAGCGCTATTAAAAAATAAAGCAGGAGAGGGTATATGTATGTATGCATGTGTGCACGTGTGTGTGTTGGGAGGGTAGTAGAGATTAGGTTCAGGAGTGGCCTCTATGAGGAGGTGACATGTAAGCAGAGATCTGAATGAAGTCAGAGCCAGCTGTGGAAAGGGCAGGCTGGGAAGAGTGAAAGCAGGGACAAAGGCCCCAGGTGTTCAATGAACAGCAAGAAGACCTTTATAAAGAGTAGGATTTTATTCTAACAGACTTTTGATCTGGTAAGTTGCAGGATCTCCCTTACAGTTTAAAACCTCACTCTGATGTTGTGTGTGGAGATCAGACTGAGGCAGGGAGCAAGATTAAAAGCAGGGAGATGTTCTAGGAGGCAACTTTCATAAGGCAGGTGAGAGATGGCAATAATTTGAATTAAGATGGCAGCAATAGAGGTAGTAAAAAGTGGTTGGATTGAACTATAATCTATTTTCTTAACTGATCTTATTTTGAAATGTGGCAAAATATACATAATTTAAAATTTTAAAACCATCTTAACTATTGTTCAGTGGCATTAAATACATTTACGTTGTTGTGTAACCATCACCACTATCCGTCTCCAGAGCTTTTTCACCTTGCCAAACTGAAACTCTGTACCCATGAAACAATAAGACTGTATTCCCCTTTTCCCCCAGCCTCTGGTAACTGCTGTTCTACTCCCCGCCTTTATGAATTTGCCTATTCTAGGT